GCCTGACTGTGGGGCTGTTGCTGCTGTTGGCTCTTTCCGAAGCGCCGTCATGATGAACGTGGATGAAAAAGGGACCTCGTGTATGGCCATACACACACACAGCAGCCCCCTTAAAGGGAATGTGTCCTCGTGAAGAAAGGAGTACAGAGCGGAAAGCCTGTCTTCTTTACTGCGTTCTGAACCAAACCATTAGGGAACCTGAACAACGACGGGATCGGGTTTTATTTTTAGCTCGGATTTGGTCTTTTAACTTAGCCAATTAGCCATGGTTAAAAAGGACATTGTGGAATCCCAAAGATGTGATTTCTCTTTGAATAGCAATCATTACAGGGGTTTTAAGTTATGAACTCTCCTATCATTGTGTAATTTTCCTGCATGTGAAAGGGCATCAATACTGGGACCGAGATCGACACAATGTACGAAGATGTACGGCAGTAGAGGATTACTGAGACTCATCAGGATCAACAATAATATTTAGCAGTAGTGTCGGTCACCTCACCATGCCTCACCAGAGATGCTCAGTGATGCCCAGTCCATACTGGGCTAATGCTAGTCCTGACACACACTGAGATATAGTCTGTTCTGGAGCCCACCACTGGGGCCCTGCATTCTGGATTGCAATGGTCTTTCTAAGCAGCTGAAACCAGGATACTTAGGTCCATTCCAAGCCTGGTTATATGAGATTAATTGTTTTCTAACGATGGCAGTGACTTGTGAAAGTCATGCAATAGACCCAGTACTTAACTGCAGCCAGCATATTGGAATCCATGTGGCTACCTCCACGCAGCCTGGCGTTCCGAGTGGAGAGGATAATTGAGGACAATTTAGCATCTCCTGATGAGATTGTTTGCCGTTTCGTGTGTGTCACCATTCACAGGGGTCACCGGCTTTCTAAGTAGTGTGTGTCTTTTCTGCTCTGTTTTTCCTAAGGTGATGGACCAAGTGCGATAGAAACTTATCTCGGTGCGGCTTCTGTCACAGCCCCGGCCTTCTTCGGGCCTGAGGGGTCACTCCGCTCCATTTCTGGTGCCATAATAGGGTTCCATGTAGCTGCTCGTAAATTGGAGGGCTTCCTTCACCTCTATGTGTGTGGCCTGTGCGCTGAGGTTTCGCCGCTTCCACGAGCCGATCGGAGGAGTCAGCCAGTGGGCTGTTTCTTGAGTGATCCCTCCTTCGGCATATCTATAGGTCAGAGCCCTCGAAGAACAGCATGAAACTGATCCATAGGAGAAGCTTTGGAGAGCCTGCAGGCAAACATGAATTACGTCGTGTCTGAGATGTAAGATGGAAACTGATTTGTTGTTGTCCGCTCTCACACATAATCGTGGACAGAAAAAGACAAGTTATTAGTTCTGAAAATTCCCAACATCCTTTTGTCCACAGAATTTCTGTTTTCCAGTCTGCTTTTTAATTGTTAGTAATTCTCGTTAATTAAGGCTCAGTGATTAGAGCATGTGGTAAATTGCTTGATGTTTTAGATGAATAACAGCAGTTGCCTACCTCTAATTAGCTCGTCCTGTTTTTCATTTCAAATGTAATGTCAACATGGCCGCATGCACCAGGCCTGTTTGACTTCCCTTTGGGGAATACCAAGCTGCAAACATGACAAAAATATTATTAAACTATGGAGAATGACACTGAATAACAATTATACTTCTCTTTGAACTCATTTTCACATGAAGGTTTGCTGTCAGGCATACAGAAGTCACACCGTGGTCTTGGGGGAACATTCTCTTCTGCCACTTTAAACCTGTATATGGATGTTCTGACAATAAAGCCCACTTGAGTTGAGTTGAGATGAATGGTTAGAATGTGGCCTGAGTTGCTTTGTACCAAGGCTCTCTTGAGTTGAGTTGAGTTGAGTTGAGATGAATGGTTAAAATGTGGTCTGAGTTCCATTGTACTTTGTCCTCCTTCCAATCCAGAGGACAAGCCAACCGAGTGAGATGCTGGATGAGGACATGAGGACTGGCGTCATCGCTTCCCGCTTGGAGTCCCTCAACGACAGGAACAGCAGCGGCAAGGCGTTCCGGCACAGAGAGCACGGCGCGGGTGGAGACGGGCCCAGGCCTGGCCGGATGGATGGCCGCTCTGACAAGCCTGTTGGGGAAATCCTGGGCTCGCTGAGCGACTCGCTGTATGACAGCTTCTCGTCCTGTGCCAGTCAGTCCTCCGCTGATGTGTAGGGGTGGTCCGAGAGCTGGCGTCGTGATGCGCACCACTTACAAAATCAGGGTAGGTGGGACCACTGGTAACCGCAGGAAATCTGAAGATGTCTGTGGACAAATGATGAGCATAGCTCACAGACAGAGAACGGGGATGGTCTAACGTGGAACCGTCACGGACCTGGCCGATCAGAGTAAATACAGAGTGACTGCCTGTCATTGCACTGTGACGAACACTGTACATAGTTTCTTAGGAATTCAAAGTGGAAACATATTCGTAACAACAATAACAAGAAAACACAAAGCAATAGACGTTATCAGCTGGTGCTGTCATTCGCGTTTACAAATGAGCCTGTAATAAGGCGGGACATATCTCTTCTCTTTCAATATCATGATAATTACAGGAATAAATCACAGTAATTGGTGTGTTCGGGTGCCACTTCCGGAATTTGTAGCAATGCCACAGCGGTTATCTGAGTGACGCTGGGAGAAAGAGCGTCCCTCTGTGAGCTCTCACACCTGTCTATAGACCCCTCTGGGCATCTGTTTACACATAAATTGCTTTTTTTGCAATGCAGTCTCAGTATGGAATGACCTGCCGATATGAGCAGACCTTCACAACCAGCAAAAACGGCGCTAATGCTAACACTTCATGCTAAGTGACCCGTAGGACCATAAATTCATAAGGCAGTGTCCAATAACTACTGAGCAGTTACGACCTGTGAATTATGTCAAACTGTGCCAACCAAGAGCTTCCTTGTCCTTCAATTGTTAGCTCTTGCTTTTCCATTCCTTATTGTTCTTGCACACAAGTTGCTTACTGCGTCATTACAGCGTAATTACATGTCAGTTAGGTCACACTGCGGGAAGTTTGGACACAGCATTCTCTGGAGAGATCAAGCCCAAGGCTGTAGCTCAGGGATTAAGCAGCTGACGTGCTTCTTGGTAGCGATGGTGCAGTTACTACGTTCTTCTTGTGCGCGTGGGGGTCTGGGTTGACTAGCAGGCAAACATTCATATGCAAGTGCATCAACACTTCTAGCAGGATAGTAACTGCTCTTACCTGCTTCTTATTTAATGTTGTTTTTTTTAATGATTATTTTCTATGTGAGGGTGTAGATATTTTAAGACAGAAATGCTTTGCTGTCCTCCTGTAAAATCTGCTGTCTCCCCGCCTATATCTGGTGTATTTGGCCTTGGAGAATGTCACGCCAAAAATGGAACATCTATCCAATCGAGCCTGGTGCTACTCAACACTGCGGCCTGTGTCTCTGTCAGACTGTTCATACGTATGAAGAGAGTCTATTTCTTAGGCCAAGCATATTTTTCTAGATGTCATGTATTTATAACCACTTTTGTATATGAAGCTGTATAGGAGTGTAATTGTATTATTTCTTATTCTCCCTTAATGTTCACTTCTTCAGAGGATCCTATATGGGCTGTTATTTCACCAATGATTTGTGCAATTCCGGCTGTTACATTAGACTTGCTCTGTATTTTCTGTAATGATACAAATAAAATTATTTCTGTTTTTAAGTTTCAAAACGCCCAACTTAGCTATGCTTTCTGGCTGGATTCATATGCTTACTGTGTAGGTATCTGTCTGTCTGTGCGTGTGCATGCAGGTGTGTGTGTTCGTGTGTGTGTGTGTGTGTGTGTGTTCGTGTGCATGCAGGTGTGTGTGTGTGTGTGTGTGTGTGTGTTCGTGTGCATGCAGGTGTGTGTTCGTGTGCATGCAGGTGTGTGTGTTAGTGTGCATGCAGGTGTGTGTGTGTGTGTTCGTGTGCATGCAGGTGTG